TTAATTAATTGAGGTACTCCAGAAAAGTATACAGTATGAAAATTCCTGGTTATAATTGTGTCCGAACAAAAATTCAAGAAAATGTATGTTAGCAAACTTCATAAGTATCCTTCTATTAATCTTTTAATCAAAGTATGTTTTAATTATAATATAACATTAAAAAATATGTTTTAATTAAAGTTTTAAAACTAAGAAAGAATTTCGAGGACGAAATTTAGAAAATGTAGAAAGAATGTCGATACCTAAAAAATTAATTCTAATGATTTAAAATCTATTTTATAGGAATTTATTTATTTATTCATTAATAATCATGTAAATATTTTTCTATTAATCTATTTTGTACTTTTTTTTTGCTTTCATTTATTTATTTATGACGGATGTTCTTTCATATGATGTGATTATATAATAAAATGGTTGCGGTGGAATTATAAACAAATTTTTTTGGGCCTTAACAAAAAGCAATGACACATTGAATCATACGGGTGTTGTGAAGCTGATATATTCTGTGTTGTCTGAATAGTAAAAGAATTGCTGCAAATAGTAACAAAGATGGGTTGTTGGGTCTAAATAACTCGACAAACCTTCCCTTAATATCCTTTCTACCTCAAAAAAAATAAAAAAATTAAACGTGTACACGTGTGTATTGTAAAACCTAATTTTCATTTTAGTTTTATGTTTAAAAAATTATCTGAAAACTAAGTTGCTTCACTATCGTAATAACACAACAGTGAATATTTTAATTTGTAAATTCTAAAATTTATCTTAAATATAATAGTGGTAATAAAAAATATTAAAAAAAACTCTTATATTTGAATTAAGGATAATTCATTGCAAGTTTAACTGTAAGGATGTATAATATTTTAAATTTGTATATTATAAATTATAAGTAATGAATTTTTAGTAAATCAGTAAAACTATTTAATAAAACTCTTATATTTGAATTTTTTAAATAAAAATAATGAAAAATTAAATTGATCTTTGAAAATAATAAAACTATTTTTGAAAATATAAATCAGTAATCTATTTAATTTCTAAAGTTATAGTTGGGATCCTTGTTATGCTTTTACGATGCATCTTACTTTCTGTAGCTATTTTACTTTTTCTAATTTCAATTATTTTTTTAAATCAAAAGGAGAACTAGTTTTTCTTGTTTAACTCATTCTATACTATCTGGGAGACATTTGATACTTCTTCAAAAAACTTTAAGGCTTTCATAGACGTAAGCTTCTGTCTGTGTTTTTAATGCGAAAGATATCATGAAAAACTTGAATATATATAAGTTTCTACAAAACAATGTTGTATAAATTACTTATGAGTCCACGAAGAAAGAATTTATTAAAAAAATATACAACATGAAACTTGAATTCAAATTATTTAAGAAATTCACACTATTTTGAATCGTGAATCCTCTATAAAAAAACTCACATAAGATATTAACAAAACAATATCTAGATTATCTAATGTGAAAGAATACTCTAAAACTTTTGTTACTCATATTAACATAATTTTTAATATCATTTATGAGAATACACAATATCGATAAGATTGGTATGTTAATTAAACTGTTTATGAACTTGTATGATTTTTTTTTTGTCTTTCTGCACTTTTAATACGTATCAGATAAAATTCTTTACAAATAATTATCACACAAAAACTTTCTCATGGATTGTATAATCCTGTCACAAAATCCAGAGGGATTCATGATAAAAATAAATTCATACTTTTTAGTAGTCTTGGATGCTTATTTCAAAGAGCAACTGGTCTTGTATCATTTTAATTTTTCTGTATTGAGTTACTGTGAAAGTTTCATCTTCAGTTGAACTGTGAAACTAAATGTTTGTCTATATTCTCTTATAAGAGGAGGATGAAGATGGCCTTTTCAAACACTGATACTAGGATTTATAAATAATAATAATAATAATAATAAACAAAATTAAAGCCGTCAAGAAATGTATCAAAGAAGGGGAGGAATAATATACCATGATTTTTGCTACCAAAATAGGTATCAACCTATCTATAAAACTGAAAAAGAAAGATTCAATCAGAATTGGATTTCGATTCGAATTATCCACTGTATTTACGGTGTCGTTTTTGTGATATTACAACGAGCACAGTTCGTGTGGAAGATCAATGCCCCTTTGCAACCCTTGCTAATGGATATATTCTGCACAACACCTATGAAACAGCAGGTAGATGGTATATTCTGAAACTCTTACCCAACCAAATGAAAATGTCATATCACATTAACTTTGGATAAACCAGATAAGAATTGGATTCCTGGCTGTTGCATCTATAAATACGCTTAATTAGTCGGTAACGTTCAGGCAATTCCATAAGAAAAGAAGTTGAGAGAATTGGTGTGCAGAGAAAAGGTGAAAATGGGAGACTTGATGCAGAGAATTATGGCAATGATTGAGGCTGAGCAAGCAGCGAAAGGGTCCAACAAGGGTTCTTCAAACTCATTTAACAACCATGGCAGCGGTCCACAGGATTTCGGCGGTGCAACGATCAACAGTGGTCAATATGCAGGTAACCGTAACAGGTTTAAACACTCAGAGCACTACGGTGAAAAGATTCTGAATAACAGTGGTACTTTCAATGGTAATGGGAACGGAGGGAGTATTCAGGGTGGCTTTAAGGCTGAAACAACCAACTACTTTTAATTATACGTATTTCGTATGGAAGGTGATGTAGTATCTGTCATGTTATGTTGTATTATAAACCCATAAATAATGTAGAGCTACGGCTCTTGGTTTATATAATAAATAAATGAAAGGGTGTTGGGGTGTTATCCAATGCCTTTATGTGTTCTTTCTTTTTCTTTACATCACCAGCTCATCAACCTTCATCCGAGTTTCACCAAATACTTCATTTTGTGAGGCAGATTAAAATCTATTTGACAGGGTTAATAAAGAGAGACAGGGTTAATAGATGAAATTTTTTCCTCCGTATTACTATTACTAGATCCACATCCATTTTATTTCTTCAATTAGACCTTTTATTATTGACATAGTTTTTTTATTTGGAAAATATTTTTTATTCTAAAAAATATAGATGTGAATATTTAAAACTATAGAAATATAAAACTCCTGTTTAAAAAACAATTAATTAGAAAAAAATTTAAAAATAGAAGTTTGAGCTTCTCTATCCATTTTTTAAGTATTATAAAATTTGTTTTTCCTTTTTTTTAAATAATTTAAACAACAAAAAGCATTTAAAAATCTAATTCAGAATTTGATTTTTTGAGAATCAATTTTGAACTAGTTTTTCGGTATAGAATGACCACATTGAAGTAAGAATTCGATTTCCAAGAACCAAATGTACAAATAAAGTCATGTTTTCGTTGTAAATATTGCACACAATGTGTTATGTTGAAAAAAAAAACTCCAATTATAATCAAATTTTTTTCTTCTATATTCTATAATTTTAAATATTGTTTTTATATATTTTCTAAATAGAAATTTATATACTTTTAAACAAAAAAAAGAAGAAGATAATTACACTGCATTTATATTAAAAGGATCTAGTTGAGAAAACAAAATGAAGGTAGATATAATGATAGTAATAAAAATGTGAAATAAAAAAATTCCAATAAATAATCCTCGACTAAAACAAATACAATTTAGCAACGAAATTAAAAAAAAAAACTGTGATCATGCCACATAGCATACGCAATCAGACATTAACATATAGGTCTAAACTTTTCTAATTTGAGATATTTTCATATTTCCCAACTCAAATATAATTGGCACATTAATTAATTTTTAACTAATTAATTTTTTATATAATTTTATTTTACCATCGAAATTTAAATAATATTAAAACGTGTCCCTTGAATGAAACTTGATTTCAAGAACACTAAAAAAGCTCTTTAATATGCTGGTTAAATTTAATTTCATCATAAATTCTTTTTTGTCTGACATGCTAATATATATATATATATATATATATATAAAGTTTATATCTTTAATCTAACATATAAATTTTAGGATTATCATTCACTTAAAATTGTAAATAATAATAATAATAATTTAAAAAGATAAATTTAGGCTTCCAAATATTAAAAGCAAAATCTCAGTCAATAAATATCAAATGAGAGGGTGAATAAAATATAAATAATAATAATAATAATATAGTATGATTTTGGCTCCATCCATATAGGTACCCATCTATCAGCAAATCGGATCACTCACAAGAACTGAAAAGAAAAATTCAATAGAATTGGATTTGTATTCGAATTCTTTAGAATCTATCCAATTTACAATTAGATAGCTTTTGTTTGTGCATCCATTTTCGCATCCTGAGCAAGACTTTATATGTGGTGCTACGTAACCTAAAACAAACCTGCTCAATGAATATTAGAAAAATTACCTTTTTTTAAGTGTAATTTAACTCTAATATAAATTAATTTTTAAATTAAGATTTACAATATATTATAATCTCATCATATTTGTAAATTCATATATGAAATCTTTTACTTTATACTACCTAGATGTATATGTTAATTTTACCATTGATATAAAAAAGTTCAAAATAACCATCACTACATATTAAAGCATAGTAGAGGCATAATATGTGGGGAGAGGAATGGCTTATCCACAGCCTCTTAGTATTTTCTGAAGGAAAATTGTATTTTGACACTGATATTTTCTCTGACTCTTTTTTTATTTATTAATAAAATATTATATTTAATAAATAAAATATTGAAATAAAATAATAAAATTATAAAAAAATCAGTGTCAAATACAGGGATCCTTTCCTGAAACACTTGCACAATCAAATGAGTCAAAAGTATCTGTTAAAATGTAATTAATTGTTGTGTGGGGACCGGAATAGCTTATGGAATTGCATCAAACTCGATGCGGTATAAGGTTTTCTGAGACTCTTACCTAACCCCATGAGTCCAAGAACTGATCCAAAACGTCATATCAGCATAGCTTTGCATAAATGAGAAAAGAATCGGATTCTTTGCTTGCATCTATATATTTGGCTTAAGTAGTAGCTAACATCAAGTTAAGAGAGAAGATCATAATGGCAGACTTCATGCAGAGAATCATGGAAATGATCCAGGCTGAGCAAGCAGCCAAAGGCTACAACAGTGGTTCTTCAAACTCATTTAACAACCATGGCAGCGGTCCCCAGGATTTCGGCGGTGCAACCATCAACAGTGGCCAATATGCAGGTAACCGTAACAGGTTTAAACACTCAGAGCACTACGATGAACATGTTCTAAATAACAGTGGTACTTTCAATGGTAATGGAAACGGGGGAAATATCCAGGGTGGCTTTAAGGCCGAAACAAGGAACTTCTACCGTCGACCTTACGATAATTAATTATGGTAGTTTATATAAACTGGGCATCATGATATACTGTGTGGTGTTCTGTTGTATTATACAGCCATAAATAATGTAGAGCACAGCTCTAATGTTATGTAATAAATAATGGCTTTGGGGGCTTAGACTCAACCCAATATGCTTCTCATCCTTCCGCTTCTCCAGGCCATCAATAGGCATAAGAAGTTAAAAGTGGAGCTCCATCTTCCATTGAAGTTGGCCAACATGCACATGATTATCTTATGTTAATTACTTTTTATTTATTACTCAGTTGTCTGCTTTCGATCTTTTGGTATATTCTATAATGTGAACGTTAGAGCACCTTAATATTCCGTTTTGCCACATAGTATTCCAACCTTAGCCAGGAGTGTTCGATAAGATGACTTTATCTGACAGGTACATGTTTCCTCTAGTATCATTGGTAAACCCATAATTCTACAATAAAAAAGAAATTCGAAACAAAAAAATAAATAAAACTGAATGCAAATTTGTTCTATTTTGCTATGTTTTGTTTTTTGTTTTTCTTTTATCAATAATACATAATATATTAATTATAAAATATTTGGAATGTATTAACCTTTTGAGAAATAGTGTAATACAATGAAGGTTAGAGAGTGGATAGAGCGACCAACTATGCTTTAGTTGGTAACGGACGGGGAAGTGGAGAATTGATTTCTATAGTCATTCCGAGGAAGAAGTAAAGGGAACCTGAGATTCAGTTTGATGAAAAGATGACGGATTTGATTAGAAATTTTATTAAAGTAAATAATTCGTTTAATTGAATTAATGAAAGAGGGTAAGTTATTTTCGGTATAATTTTAAAACTAATTTTAAGTATATTTTTCAAAATATAGAATATTTTTATTAGAAAAATAGTAAAGAAAAGAAAAATAAATTATTTTTTAAAAATATTAATTTTTAATAATATTATTTATTAGGTAGAAAATGATTTCAACCTTTGATATGAATTAGACTTATATGTCATTAGGTTATTTTTTTATCAATCATTCAAAAGATTCATTAGTGATGCAAGTGTGTTTCATTATTATAATAAAATATGTTAATATCTTAAGTGAGTTAAACTTATATTTAATTGGTGTTTTGTTTCTTCCATAAATTTCTTGGAATGACTCAACAAAATTATAGTAACTTTGATTCATATGTTAAACAAATTATAATTGTGCTAATAAAAACTACATATATTAATAAATAAACTGTTTCATAAAATAATATAATTTACTTAAATTTACTTTAATGTGTAAGTTAATTTTATTCAAATAATACCGATTAATATATGTATATTGATTATACATTTTTTTTAATTATAAGTTATATATACATTTTAAGAGATCCAATACTTCCATTCACTACAATAGAGGTTGAAGTAACTAGATTCAAGAATCCGCCTTCTCCATTTTTAACAGAGTCCAAGTTTCTCCATCATGCCTTCAAGTCCCTCTAGTTAACCTAGTCAAATCATTTTTCAATATCTAATAATTTGAAAATTATGCAAGGCTTACCTCAAGCATCATATACTAGTTCATTGAGAATAAGAGCACATCTAGGATTTTCCTACCCCTGTGAAAAGCTTTTTGATTTTCAGAAATTATGGTCAATTAGCATAATAAGTATAAAAGTAATACAAACAACTATTAGTTTCTTTTTGTGCCCATTTTAAGGTGGGCCTGGGCTGTCACACCTATAAACATGGGCCAGTAAGGAACAAATGTCTTTCCACTGGACCATACCTAGACCAACTTTTCCATCCGTACATACATAGTTCTGATGCAAACTTTTATACAAGGCTGTTTTTTCTTACTAAATTCTTCTTAAAGATTGCCTGATAAGGTCGAGTTATAAGCTCTTATATTCTTAGCCCAATCCTTCCCCTTTCTCTTTTTAAAAAAATTCCCTGGTAAAATTGAATTGTGATAATGAAGAAATATGACACTATATATTGAAAGGTAATTGAGTTGGCTTAAAGTGGAGTCATTTTAAATTTTTGCACAAATTACGCTTCTGTAACGAAGCACTCCATTTTAGTAAAATTATGGATTTTCTAGAAAATAATTCTGATAAGCTTTCAGCAAATTCTGTATTCAAGAAGGGTAATTTTGCATGGATGGTTTCGGCCTATGTCCACGTCGTAGTTTTACTCAAGATGATTCTAGTAACTTCTTTGTCACTGGGTAATTTTCTATCTGAAATGATATTTTGGGATAATATTTTTCTTCAGCTTTGTTTTTACCGTTTTTCCTACTTTTATGGTGAACTTTTTTACTCAATTTGGCCCGTTATCAGGTAAAAGAAAGGTTAGCAAATTTTCGTTTTAATTTTTCATGAGGTTTTGCGGTCTATATTGGCTTTGAGGATGGTATAGTATTTCACATACCAAATTTTTGTTTAACTCTTTGATGATTTACTGAGATAGTAAGTATACTAGTTGGATGAGAAAAATTAGAACTCGAGTGAAAAAATGTAAATTAAAAAGTACGTATGCTTTAAACAATTGTAATACGGCTTAACACTCCCATTAGAACATACACTTTTAGTACTTCTTAAAATTTAAAATTTCATAAGGGTGAGATTCATTAAGTAAAGAGTGAGACTTAGAATTTTAAAATATTTAATATATTTCAATCAATACTAATAGTTATGCTTTAAAAAAGAGATAAATATACTACTATTAACCTTGATCATAATGAAACAAGCATGATGTGAACAGGCTCAGGCAATCTGAGATTTTTTTTTTCCGGGTACTGTGAATTTGGCTCAAAATTCTGATCTATCTATAAATCGCATATCACTCACGACAATTGAAAAGAAAGATTCTAATTGAATTGGATTCCAACTTCCTCCTTGCATTTATCTAAATTATTAAAGGTAGTTAGGTTTCGTTTGGTCCGTCCGTCTTATCATGAGTGGGTATTATAGCTTGCATGACGATAGTGATATTACGTAACGCAAAGAAGCTGAACACAAATTGCTAGGAGAACAACTTGTGTGGATAGGCAATGCAATGCCCTTGCAACACGTGACAACAGATATATTCTCAAGTCAAAGACTTCAGGTTGAAGCAGAACTTGTGCTTATACAGAATATATGGCTGGTATTGCATGCATGACGCACATCATATTTTTGTGAAACTCTTACCTTCAATCCAAGTTGTTAGTTAAATAATCTCCGTATAATCGTTAAGATTTGGATTCCTTTAGTTGTTGCTATAAATTAAGCGAAGTTAGTGAGTACGTTAAGGCAATTCAATAAGAAAAGAAGTTGAGACGGGTGAGGTGTGTAAAGAGTAAGATCATAATGGCAAATTTGTTTCATAAAACAATGGAAAACAATCTCCTCCGTTCCTTAAACTTTTTATTTATTGCTCATATCATAGTTCTAGCCATTTGCTACCTCCTAAAAATATTGTAATACTTAAATTAGTTTGTTATTCAAACGGTTTAACAATAAATACTATAATAAATGTATTGTAAAAGATTCCAATAATCATACCTTTCATTTATCACAGTTCAATTCTATTAAACATAATTATTAATATGTTTATTTTGTCTTGATGATTAACTGAATTTAATGAACACTAATTGGTCTCATTCCAATTTGGACAATCATTTGCAACAAATTTGTATACATATTTGTTGCTAGAAATACAATTTGATGGATTTTTTTTTTAAGTAATCATGATTTATTTGTAATTAAAGTTAACGTGACTTTATTTTTTTTTAACTTCTTTGAAATCATTCAACTTTAATCATTTCAAATTTATGGAAGAAACTCCAAAGTAATTATTCTCTTCCAAAATAATTATTCTAAATTTACTATAACTGATTTTAAGTCTTATTTCTAATTGATCTGAGACTTACGAAACATTCTCTTACATCCATATATATAAATTTCATGTCTAAGATTTGATGTTTCACTACGATAAGTTCTAACATATTATTTTGATATTATATTAAAAAGTAAATTTTTAAGTCAACTCAATCTCATAAAACTGACTTATAAAATAAGATTTATACTTATATATATTGTTATTATGGGTTCATAGGGACTCATAGGCTACCGATCGGTCTCGACCAACTATTGAGCAGAGTTAACGCATAAATGAATGTGATAATGACTACCGTTAAACAATTAAGGTTTGCATTAATGACCATTAAGATCTAAATTAATTTAGATTCCTTTTAACTCTATAAAAGGGTTTAGGTCTGAGCTAAAGTCAGATTCAACTCATACTACAATACACCCTATTTACCTCTTATTAGGACTTCAATGTTTAACCTGCAGTACCTCCCCTCTTTTACAACCGAGCGGCCAATATGGAAGGTGACCGATCGGTCTAAACTGGAAGCAGACAAGCGAAGCGCACCAGTCGAAGGTTAATATCTCGGTCTCACAATTCACACCGATATATATATATATATATATATATATATATTAAATTGGTCTCATCTTTATTCAATAGAATTAGGATTCAAATCGATATAATTTGCGTATGTTTATTACTTACCTTCTACTACTACTAGTACCCTCAATTGCTTCATCTTGTTATCACTTAACTCACCCATGAATTTATAGATTCAATTCAACCTACCCACGCACTTGCTAGGGAATCTGGTGCTCTGCTTCCTCACTACGCCATAATATAATTAATAGCGTGGTGGTTACAGCGTTAGCACAAGTTATATTGCAAGACAGCATATAAGTCTTCAATTTTTCTAACCTTATCCCTGTATATTTGGTTTGAAAGGATTTATTTAATTATTAATAATTTCATTTTTATTTATTTATTAAATGTACTTTTTACGTACGTTAAGTTTATTTATCAGGTAACTAATCCAATGAATTAGAAGAATAAGTTCTCTTAATATTTATATTGCAATACAATGTGACGAAAAATAGTTTTCTTAAATTTTGTTCATTTTATTTCTTTTATATATGTTTAAAACTAATAACTACATATTAAATATTTACTAATTTTCCATCCATGTTTCTTATTCGTAGGTAGAAAAGTTCAGTTGGAAAATCTATATGTACACAGAAAAGCTATGAGATCTATAATTTTAAATTTATTCTTTTTATCATAATAGACAATTGTTTTTTATTACAGGTCTTGATGGGAGCCTAAACAAGCGA